CTCCCCCTCTTGCGCCGTCACCCAGGCCAAGCGCACCTTCCCCGAGGGCCTCATCGACCCGTCGATCATGGCCTTCGCCTCGGTCCCGGGTGTCGCCGCCGCCGCCGAGGACATCGAGGAGTAAGAGAACTCCCGACACAGACACACACACGCAGACACACACATCGCTTGGGCCCTCCTCTCCCCCTTTTCACCCCCTCACATGCACACAGATATGGACACATGAACGCACGCGCACGCCTCCCCCCCCCCTCCCAGGGGGGGAATGTGTTTGTGCGCGTGCGTGCATGTGTGCCCGCCCCGGCCACTTGCCTGTCCTTCGCACACCCACACATACAAGCATGCGCCCGCGCACGCACCCCCTCCCCTCTGCTCTTTCCCCCTCTCTCTCTCTCTGCTGGCCCATGTCCAGTGCGAGGGCGGGGAGTGCGCGCCGCCCGCCTGCGCGCGCAAAGTGGCGTCCTAGAGGAGGGGCCGAGATCCCGTTCTTCAGTAGAATACACTTGTAATAGTACACGAAGGAAGAGTGCGTCCGTGTATCCGTGAGGATATCCCGGGAAGGAGGGGGGAGAGCAACGCACGCACGCCCACACGCGGGTTGGGTACGGGTGGCCAACGGCCGATGCTTGCTCCGCACACACTCGCCTGCCTTTGTGGAGGGTGTGCGAGTCGGATGGCCATCTCTATCTTGGCGGCTGGACGAAACTGTGAGGCCTAGGAAAGGCCGGCAAGGGGCGGGGGGAGGGGGGCGACCTGCAGGCGCAGCGAGAGGTCTCTGCCGCGGAATGCTCCGGGGCAGGCTAAAGCACCGCATACACCCTATCCGGGGGAGCTGCGGGGCGGCGAAACAGCCGGAAGACCGAGGGGCTGGCACGGGGCGCTGGGGCCTGCATGCTCCCAAGTCCGGACAGCCGGCGAGGGGGCACAGGCGCTGGCCAACAATAACCAGGGAGAGGAGCGAGGGATGAAAGGCACGCCCCTTCGGTCGTCCCACAAGCGGCAGGCGGACGGGCGGCAGGCGGCTCCCTGACAGTGGACGACGGAAGGGCTGAGACCCATCGACAAGCGGCCGGGGAAGATCTCTCCCGGTGGGGAATCCGGGCGGGGGGGGGGGGGGGGGGGGG